TTGAGCTCAGAAATCTGATGGATAATACTTTAGTTACTTTGGGTAATGGTACGCATCTTACCAATTTGTTAGTCGGCTCCCTTCCTAGAACTAGAGGCAGAGGGAGGACTAAAGTGAGATGTCCCTAACACTTTTGCACTCGTTGGCGGTTTTTTAGTTTTTTATCTTTATGTATATTTTCTTTATTGATTTTTTTTGCGTGTTGTATTGTGTGAGTTGGACATTATTTTAGGCCCTATCATACAACATATATGTACCTTTTCCTCTTTAATATCTAAATGCTTGTTTTATACTGGTAAATCTATGAAGAGAGATATATTTGCTTGAAGTACTAACTCATTGGAATGTAAAGCTAACCTTCCCCTAAGATATATGGGAGTAGATAGTATTAGGGGAAGGAGGAAGCAAACCTAGATGGATGGCTTTGTAGAGAAAGTAAAAGGAAAAATTGGGGATTGGAAAAATGTTTTCTTATCAAATGGTGGTAGAATCACTTTACTGAAAAATGTTCTTTGCAGTATTCCATTATATGTTCTTCAAATTCTGAATATAAAAAAAACACTCAAAAAATATTGAAAAGATGTTTTAACAAGTTCTTATGGGTTGTTGGTTCCTCTAAAAAGATTTGGTTGTCATGGAAAATGGTTTGTAAACCTTTTTCTTCAGGGGGGGCTTGGTATTAAAGAATTAAACCATATTGCTAAAATTAATATGATTAAGATTTGGGTTAAATTTAGAAAAATGAATCTTTATGGGATAAATTCTTGCATTAGAAGTATTGTTTATCTTCCCAGCCTTCTTAGGTGGAATAGAAAGTGGGGGATTCTAGAATTTGAAGTCTATAGTTAAATACATATCCTTTGCTAAAAAATTCATTTTTTGGGACATTGGAAGGGTGATATATCCTTTTGGCATGATTTATGCTTTAAGACTAGTGAGCCCAACCCATCTGATCATAGATCTTTACTTTTTGATTTTTGGTTCAATGGTAGCTGGAACTTACCCTAAGTTAGGGAGGCTGTGGGGGATGAGGCAAAACCTCTTTTAAGAATTCCTTTTGATGTTACTAACAATGATGTGCCTATTTTTAAATGCAAGTGGCAAACTTCTGTTGCAAAATTTATCTACTTTAACCACAATTGATTCAGTGACTGACATTGGGGTAAAACTATATGGTGCAAGGAGCTATCTCCTTTTGTGCCTTTTTTTTTATCTGAAGGCACTTACAAAACTCTATCCCATATGATGATATCTTAAAATTGAAGGGCTTAAAGCTGGCTTCTAAGTGTTGTGTAAAACTTATGAGGAGTCTTGTGTGCATTTATGTTTTCAATGTTTGATTGCTAGGGAAGTGTGGGTAGATTTGGGCTAGCTGCTGGGGGGCTTTGCAGTGCATGGGTGGAATGGCTTGGTGGAATGCTCTCTTTACTGGAAGGATAAAAGAGGGGAGACAATTTCTCTTTCTTTCCTCCCTTTCATTGTGATCTAATTTATTTTGATTGCTAGGATATCCGCAAGATTTGAAGGATCTTTACCTTCTATTAAAAACATTGTTGCTAATACTATGACTTCTTTAAGTAAGGTATTCATAAGCAAAGCTTCCTCTTCCAGTCAAGTTTTTTGCAATGATGTTAAAAAACTTATCCTATTCAGATGGTTACCTCCACCCAATGTTTGGATGAAAATAAATTTTTATGGTAGTCTTAAAAATGGATTGGCTGTAGTTGGTGGCTTATTTAGAGATCATAATGCAAGATGTGTGGGCTATTTCTCTTCTCCTTGCTGGGTTGAAAACCCTTTATAAACTGAGATGTGGGCTAATTTCATGGCATTATAATAGTTGCTAGCCAAAAATGGTGTTATAGGTATTGTGAAGCTGATTCAAAAACGTTGGTTGATATTTTAATCTGGAAAGTTAAGCCACCATGGGGAGTTCTCAACGCTCCGAATAGGATCAGCTATCTTATTTCTTCTCAGAGTCTTATCATTCAATAGAGCTTTACATCTAGAGAGGGTAATAGACCTGCTGATTTCCTAGCAAAAAAAGTTCATTTTAGGGTGAATGTTGGGAAGATTCTTTATGCTAATCTTAAAGCTCTCATGGTTGGGGACCAGTTAGATATCCCCCATATTAGAAGTTGAATATGCTCCTCTTTTACTTTTAGGGGACTGCTTTATATTCTTCCTGTTTCACTTGCCCTTATTCTCTCAAGTTAGTAATGGCCTCTTTGGTCTATATTAAGTTAAAAATGTTAATTAGCTGTTTTGATTGACGGTGGGGTACCCTTTTGCAAATTTTCTATTGATTTCTTTATATCATTCAGTTTTATCTCACCTGCTCTATTTTCTATGGACTTGTTGTGCCAATGTTAGTGATCTTTTGTGATTGGTTGTGTTCTGAAGTATTCTCTAGTGAACCTTCTATCTCTTGTGTAGGGTGTGTTCACTCTCGTCTGTTTGGGGGGAGTTTGGAGTGCTCTTTATGCCAGGCTGTCAGGAGGTTCTGCTTTTAGCTTTTGGGGTATTGTTGGTGGGGCTATGGCTTCTGAATATATGGTTAACCTGGGGGTTTCTTACTGGTCTGCAAGTGGGGAAGTGTTGCATTATTTGGGCGCTTTCGTTCCTTAACTGGTTGTGTTGGATCTTATCTTTATGGTTTTGGGGATACAACACTTTGTTTGGAGGTGCTTTGGTTTGTTTTCAAGTAGATCTCTGATGGGTGGGACTTCTCTGATGTTGGGTGGCTATGGATTTTTGGGGACTTTCACTACCTGTTTCATGCGTTTAGGTTTGTTTGGTGGTCTTCTAGGGTGTTTCTATTTTATTTTATTTCTGCCTTTGCTTATTTTCTAATGCTCTAGAATTTCCTTTTCACCGGCTATGTTGGTTCTTATTTGCTATCTGTCTTGTCATGGTTTGAGAGTGCTTGGAGTCCTATACTTAGGTTTGGAGTGCTGACAAAGGTTTGCTTTTGGTCTTGCCCCAGTTTTTATACATATTCCTTGGAGGATTGTGCCTGTTTGGATGAATCTACTGGCCACTGTCTCTTGGTGTTGGATATGACTCTTTAGCTTGGACTGTGGGCTCTCAGACTTTTTTATAGATATGAATCTCCTGTTTCCTGCTAATCTAGGGTCTTCTTACTAGTCTTTTGGGTTTACCTACTACAAATTAACAAGTACTTCTTGACGATGATGATTTTAATGATTATTTAAAATTGAAGGGCTCTCAAATTTGAATTACATGCCCTTGATGATGATTTTAATGATTATACTTCTTTATGAAAGTTGGCATGTACATGCAATCAATGGAAGTTATGGAACTCTTTCGTATATATACATTAGTAGCAACTAAGAATTATAGCATTAGTTGGAAATATATATCCTTTAAAAAATTGATGGAACCTAAAAGATTTTGGATTTATTGTAGTTGCTTTTGTTGGAAATATATATCCTTTAAAAAATTGATGGAACCTAAAAGATTTTGGATGAAATAAAGAGGTTAATCATGTTTTCCCATTGTTAAAAACGAAGAATGGTTGTTTAAGGAAAAATAAAAAGCCTTCAAAGAAGAAGAAAGACGTGTCAGTGTAGCCTATTGAGTGAGATGATAATTTAGTTACTTGTAATGCCTACTATTCATATCCTTCATAAAAACTGAGTCATTTACATAAATAACACCCAATTCTCATGTATTTACCATCTAACACAAAAATATATTATTTTTACATTTATTACAATCAAATTTGTCATATCACCCAAATCTTTCGTGTCAGATGAAAAATATCACTATATAACTTAAAAAATAAAATACATATTTTCATGTACAGTTTAAGTTGGTATATACGTAAAAGTTGAATTGTAGGTGTTAGGTATGTAAAATACATAAGAATTGAGTGGTATATATATAAATCTTCCTAATTTATGATTAATTATTTTTGTTTTTGTATGAGTATTATACCTACTAATTCTTAAAGTAATGGCACTCATTAGTTATGAAATATTGTAATGCTTATTTTTGCTGTGTTATATATATTTTTTATTTTCTCATGTATTCACCTTGTAATTAACAATATCATAGTAATAGGGACAATTCTATCATATTAAAATTCTTGAATTGTACTTTTATATTTATCATAGAATAGTTCTGTTATTACTGCTGTGGTTGAATACTATTGTGTTAGCGACCATATAATTTTTAAAATGTACTATGTAGTATCTACAAAACTTGTTCAAACAAAATTGGATCATTGTTTGGATCCAATTTAAAGTCTTAAACTATATTTAAGAAGGATTTGAACAAGGTTTAAAATCTTAAAGAATATTATTCAAAATTCATTTTAATTTTGTATGAATTAGTGTTGATAACCATGAACTTTTTGTAATTATTATATCATATTTTTTTAATCTAGATTAAAATTTCCAGATATATTTATCTAAAAAATACAAATAGCAAGTTTATTTAATAAGTTTAAGATTGATCATTTCTTATGGACGAGTGAAATTGTCCTTTACACAAAAAATTATTAACGTTGATTTGTTGCATTGGGGCCATTTGAGATCAATTTTTTTAATTTTAATTTAATTTTTTTTAATATTATGATTTTATAAAATATTTTTAGTTGTGCTAATTGCTTTTAAAAACATTTAAAATATCTTTTAAATATTTTAAGTATTTTTTAAAATAAATTGATTTTGCTTTAAAATAAAAACTTATGAAATTATATTAACTAAATTCATTTTTAGAAAATAAAAAAAATGAATTTAAATGAGGCCAATAGCATAAAATCTTTATATATATATATATATATATATCATGAGTTTCCTTATATGTATATATTGTATATATAAATATTATATATATAAGGAAATATATACATGTAAGGAAACTCATGTTTTCTTTTTTTCGGAAGACTTATAGTTAGTTTTATTAAAAATAAAATATAGGGTTAGAATAAGATAACTAACAATATAATGCACTAAAGAAAACTTCGAAAAAAGAAAAAAACACCGAAAAAAGGAAAAAAAACACCACAATATGACAAAAACGAAACCCACAACACCATCAGATGTCAATATAAAAATTTTGATTGCGAATTTTGATCGACAACTGTAGCGGCAAACAAGAACAAAAGAAGCCCGAGTTTTTAGGGGGAGAAAACAGGCTTTTCTGCCGGCATTCAGGATCAATCCTTCGCTTTTTAGGGTTTCGTTCCCCAGCGTTCTTCATTAGTTCATCGAAGACAACGATGAACGCCGTTTTGGCGCATGTCAAACGTTACTCTGTTCCCCTTGTTCTTTTTGCCCTTGGCCTCTTCTTCCAACTTGTTGTTCTCCCGTCTTCTTATCCTTCATCGCATTACGATGGTGAGTATTGATCTTTTTTTCCCTACTGATGTCTAATTTCCCCGCCTTTCCGAACACTTCTTCGAATATAAAATTTGATGTTTCAACTCTTGCCAGTTTTGCTCGTCAGAAGGTTTGCGCCTGTGGAGGAAATAGAGGAAGCTTACAGCAAGCTATCCTCCAAGTGGTACGACAAATATTTCTCGCAGACGCTCTAATCTTCGATGCTATTGCCATTATTTGCCCGTTCGGAAGTTCTGCCAACGTTTACTTTTGTACACCATCTGATAAAGAAGATCGACTTGTTATAAAAATTCTTTGACTTTCTATCAAAGGCTCATCCATTAGTCGAACTAAATGTTTTCTTCATGAAATTAGCAGCAACACCTTATAGAATTATTGATGTTTTTTAGCTTTTCGGAGATGGATTTTGATACTTAAAAATTGATGATATTTGTCAACTTATAAATAAATTTTATCTTGAAGACCTCACTTATACATAAAAGCTACACTTAAAAATTCAATTATAACATTTTAAAATTGAAAATCATTAAAATTAAAATTTTCTTAGAACATTTATAAATTCTTATTTATGATAAGTGCTGGCTAAGATAAGATTACTTATCATATATTCTCTTGTTGGTTAGGACATATGGAATAGAATTGAAGATAATTTTCTTGTGAGTTCATTGATAACATATATTAAAAATGATATTGTAATGACTTTCGATGTAGAATCATTATCGGCTAAGACATACTAAATAAATTGAAAGATAATTTTCCTGTGAGTTGATTTATAACATATATTGAAAATTATATTATAATGAGTTTTTTTTTAATTATTTTATATTTGAATTCTTTTAATCGATTTATTATTTCACCCCTTATCTCCTCAAATTCTAGTTCTGCAATTTTAGGTTGGTGCATATACTTGTACACAACCAATGGAGAGCTTTCACAAATTTGTGTGCAAGCTGCCAATCGGTACTTTTGAGCATAATAATTTCACTACTGTACACACGCCTACATGCCTTCATAATCTATCTGTCTATTAGAACTTTATAAAAGCTGCTTTATGGGTTGCATTATATTAACAAAACATCTTTTATGAAGAAAATTTTCAGAAAAACAGTTGAACTATTTTCACAAGTTGTTATAGCGATATATTGACAAAACACTTCACAAATATACTTGGAAAGAATAAATGTTAACAAGAGCTGATGATACTATTTGATTTCTAACTCAACATGACACATCTAGCTAGAAGTGACTTGACCTAGAAATAATTAAAAAAAAAAAAAAATCAAGTTGCCAACCACAGAATCTTGTGACTATACTGGAAATTTTACCCTTAATGTAAGATCCCACCTAGCCATGGATTTCTCTCAATAAAGGTGCCTTTGATCTTTTGATGTTCCTGTGATTCCAGTCCAAGATTTACTTGCTGAGAATTTCAAATGTTTTAATCCTTGTTTGGCAACTCATACTCCTGCTCTCTAGACACGAATGTCAAGATGTCGCTAGGCAGCTTCCCAAGCATAGACTGGCTCGAATTTTCCAGCTGTTTAAAGATCAACAGACAAAGAAAGAGAAAATGTTAGATTAGTAGTGCATGGACCGAGGAACAAGTTATATGCAATTGAATTGAAAAACAAAGTAGCTAGTGTAACAGCACTGCAAAAGTAGAATACCTTCCAACTTCCTACAAGGGAAGTTAATCTAGTGGTTATTGTAGGCTGCTAATAATTCCAAATAAGCTGCTGCCGCTTCCTTGACCTTACTATTGCCCAGCTATGGCCCTTCTCCCATGTCAAGTACTGCTATCTAGAATTCCATAAAAACCTACTAGCAATCATACAAGTCAATTTTGAGAAATTAGGTAGATCAATTTGTTACACACAAAAAAAAAAAAAAAAAAAAAAAAAAGAAGAGAGAATCACAAAAATGTTTTTGTGCATAAATATGGATATTATCTTTCATTTCTATTTAGCATTGCACACTAGCAATGGTACTTTTTGTCTATGATATTCTTTTATGCTAATTACTATTATTTTAAATTTATCTCGCCTTATTGATATGTCTTTTACTCTTCATTGTACATATCGAAACCGTCTTAAATTATTGTTCACTATCTTTTAATTAATACTTTTCTCTTTCAACGCTTCTTGGACAAGGGTGATTTGGAATTGCTTCTGTAATTTTTTTAATATTCATTTTAGTTTTGCTGCACAAGTATTTAACATTCCAATTTCTGTTACATGCAACTTAATTTTTGTTGTCTTTTTATCGCCTAGAACTTGATTTACAAACACTACTAATATAATTGCATTTTAAATTTACTTTATAAACATTATTTTTATGAAAATTTTAGTGCCCTTGATGCACTTTTCTTTTTTGACTGCATACTTTATTATAGAAGTTATTTCCTTACATTATCCCAATTTTCATTTCTAGTAAATCCGAGATACTTAAAACACTGTACATATTGGTATCACGTGACCTTCTTGCAATATTGCCTATTACTAAAATTTTACCTTATATGCTTAATCTTTATTTTTTTATTTTTTAACTTTTCACTAATTTTCTAGAGTATCACTTAGTATATAACTATTTATAAATGTTGTACGCTAAAGAACCTTAGTATGAATATAATTTTTAAACATTTTCATAATCACTAGAAAAAAATACATGGATTTAATATTCATTATTGATGTAGTTTAGCTAAGATCAGGAACTCTTTAGCCACTTTTTAACTTTATAAATTCTAGTCAATGCTCCATTAGTTGCCTTTGTATAAAAATAATGTTTGAAGTTTGATGAGTTCTTCTTGGCATACAACCAACTTTTTTATGGACATTGCAATTTTTAAATATCTAATCATATGCTTAGTTACTTTTTATCAATAACGTCATTTTGTGAGTTATAAGTTTGATTGCCCGTTAATTACCAAAAATTTGAAATATGTTTTAGAACTATTGATATTAAAATACACCTCCAATCCTTTGACAACTTGCTTGTTTTTAATGTTTTATTGAAAAGGTTTGTTGAGCAAACTAATCCAGCATCATTGATCACTTGAAATCTCAATAATTGTGTCATATGGATCATAAGTCTGTTGAACTCATATTCTATATTCAATTCATTAAAAAAATTATTTTATTAGCTGTCTTATAGTTTTGTTTTAATGCTTTCATTTTTAACCTAGTGCTTATCATATTAGCCTTTAACACAATAGCATGGTCATTGCCTTTAGATGCCCTATCTATTGCCTTGCAGTTTTATATATTTTCTTTCCTTTTTCCTTAGTATTTTGTTTTGCTAACTCTCTTCATTGCAATATTTCTTGCTTCTCTATAATCATTGAAGCTCTGTGTCACCCTTTAGAGACACTATTTTTTAGCTTTTTGTGTTTCTTCATTTGAGACCCTCTCCTTATGGAAGGTCTAATCCGAGACTCTTCTGAAACTCTTATGGATCCTTGTAATTGTATCAAACATTTGATTCCCCATCAAAATTGGTTCAATGATAGAGTTTCAATTTGTCTCTCTTAATGAACAACTATACAACAACAAGCCATTATCTCTCTTGTTGGGGTCGGCTTCAATCTTTTTTCTTCATTGTGACCTATTGAGTGTCATATTTTCATTTAAATCTAATAAATTAAGATCTTTTTTTTTTTGTATACAACACGCCCAAGTTTTTTTAAGTCTATCTTTACCTTTCTTAACTTAAGTCAAATCTAAAACATCCAATCTCTTAATTGAGTCATTGGATAGTTGACATTTAATGTGGACAAACCATCTAAGACGACTATCTTTAATTTTGTTTGCCACTAGAGCTACTCAAACCTTTTCACGAGTATATTTGTTTTGCATTGTCTCTAAATGTAAAGCCACTCATTCACTTGAGCACTCTCATCTCAATAACACTTATTTTATGCTTTTCTTTTACATGCCAACATTCTTGCCATAAAACATTGTAGGCATCACCACCTTCTTATAAAATTTTTCTTCAAGTTTAAGCTGTACTTTTATATCACATAATAGATCTGACACATTTCTCCACTTTAACCATCCAACTTGAATTCTACTAATAACATCCCCATCTATATCACCATCACTTTGTCCAATTGATCCAGGATATCTAAAACAATCACTCCTTTTACTGATTTGATCACCCATTGTTACAACATCGACACTAGCTCTACTGTTGCTAAAATTACATTTCATAAATTCAATTTTAGATCTAGTCAAACGAAAGCCTTTAGACTCTAAAGTTGACCTCCATAATTCAAAATTTTCCTGAACTCTCTCTCGTTATATCCACAAGAAGGATATCATTAGCGAAAAACATACACAAAGTACATTCTCTTATGAATATCCAGTAAGAAAATCCATAACCAAAGCAAAAACATATGGGCTTAAAGCGATCCCTGATGTAATCCAACTAAAATAGGAAAGAAAATTGGTCAATCCTCTTCGTGTTTGAACACAAGTAATAGCTCTAGTATACATATATTTAATGATTTAAATATAATCAATGTTAAAACCTTTCTTTTCTTGAACTCTCCAAAGTAATTCTCTTGGAATCTTATCATAATTTTTTTTAAATAAACAAAAAATATATGTGGATCTTTTTACTCTCTCTGTATTTCTCCATCAAACAATTGAATAAATGTATAGCTTTCGTGGTAGACTTGCCCGACATGAATCTAAACTTTTTTTGAGAAATCTTGGTATCACGTGTCGTAACCTATGCTTAATTACTCTCTTTCATAACTTTAATGTATGACATATTAACTTAATCCCTTTATAATTTGCACACTCTTTTCTCTCTTCCATGCCAAAAAATTGTTTACTTTTTTTTTTTTAACTTTCCACCAACCTATCAAAGCAAAAGATTTATTTTATTAATTTCTTTATCTATATAATACATATTTCAAGTCAACTGAAGCTGAAGATACATGTGCTCTTTTAGCGCAATCCTCTAAGTGACATTTTATTAGTCAATTGATCTATTAAAATTGACAATTCTAGACTTAGAATTGATGTCTTGCTTAGGAAATTTATTGGCATAATATAGCTTTTGTTGCATCTATTTAAATGGCACAAATAACAGCATAGCATTCTGGAAATTTTTTTTTGTTGGCATAAAGATAGCATAGTATTGGTTGGTATAATGCTGTTTTTTCTAGCTTCTTACATGCACAAAGGATAGTATAGCTTTTTCTTATTATTATTTTTTTGTCTGGACGAATGGCATTCTGTTTATGGATTAATCTCTTAACACGGACTCTTCTCTTCGATAAAAAGCTAAATCTGTACGAATGATGATAAGTCATTAACTTCAGTGTACATATAGCCTATTAAAGTTGGATCACAGTCAAGTTTTTTCATGGCGGTTATTTTGCTCATTCAATCTGAAATTAAATCTTATGGTTGACCTTTTTTATTCTATGGGTTTTAATTTTTTGAAGCTAAATTGATACCTTTTCTGATTTCTGAAAGCTTCCACAGGCAAATTTTCAAGTTCTTTTGACTTACATATGATTTCAATTCAAAATGTTAGGTTTTTGAATTTGGACGTGCCAACTGTCCCTGAATTTCTTAAGGTTAGTAACTTAATGTTTTGATATGATGTGATTGCTGATCTCTCATATTAACAAGTGCGTCAATTGTTTGTTTCTGTTATACTTTCATTTCACTTTTTAAAGTTGAAGTAGAGCGTTTACAATAAGGATTAATGCAAAACTGTAAAGCGAACTCTGATACCTGTTACAGGAGAGATGATATAAATGAGTATTTGTTACGAAGTTATGTCAAATGATAATTTATTCGTTACGTTTGTCACATGCAGAGATGGCCATAAAAATTTTAAGTTTCCATTAACGATTATAGCTATTTGTGGATCAGGAATGGTTAGAACAAGGAATGCCTTCAAAACTGATTCATTTTCCTATCTTGATTATTGTTGATTCTGTCAATAGTTTGAAATTTAGTTTAGATTAAATTAAATTGCCAGCTAATGATCAGTTTTCTCAATGATCTTCTGGCAATTGTTTGCCTGTAGAGTGTGGTTTTTTAGTTTTGATTAGTTTGCTCATATAGAAGTACATTAAGTTGACTCTGTAAAACCTAATATGTTACTCATTTTGGTGTCAATTTTTTTATTTATTTGAGGCTTTGAGAGAGAAAGAGGACAGGAAAAAGTGAGTAGAGAAATTTCCTGTTCTTTTGGGTTAGTGAGAGGGAGAGGTTGTTGGCTATTGGGTGGAAACTCGCCGGAGTTGGGCTGCCGATGAGTTAGAATAGATAGTGGCGAGATTTCTCTCTTTAGGAGAGAAATAGGGGAGAGGAAGAAAGACAGGGGGAGGTGATAATCATTGGCTGTGGAGTAGTTTTGTGAGAATGACGGTTAGGGAGAGATGGATGGGGCAGGGATGCACTCAGTCAAAGAAGAGGATGCCAATGAAAAGGTGGTCGGTGGTTGAGTGCAAGGATGGGATGATGCGTTGCTTGTTATGTGCATGATGCGAGAATGGGAGGAGCGCAAGAGGCGCAAGAGAGATTGACACTAGCGAACATGAGTTATGACTTGGGTGTTGTGCGTCCAAAGTCGAGGCGTGGTTGCTAGTAGCATGTGAGATGGGGCAGAGGGGTGTCACGCGAACAAAGAGAGTTGCTGGGCTGTGGCTAGAGCGGGCTAGAGTCGAGATAGTCAAGGGTTTAATTGAGGGAGGGAGGGAGGGAGGGAGT